AACTCACTTTATAGATGAAGAAACAGAGTCCCCCTTAATTATTCATGTCCTTTGCTTGAGTTGTATTTTTGAGCATTTTTTCTCCAGGTTTAGCTTAGCTTTCCAAACACCTGCCCTTATAATGGCTACACAAAGCTGTTCTTTGCCATTCTAAGTTTTATTTCTTAGATCTGCTACTGCTTCGGGAGGTCTTAATAACTTTAGAGCTTATCCATTGGTTTTGCCTATTTCCGCCTGTTCCTTCTTTCTGGTTATCTTACAGGCACTTCTCCCTCTGCTGATCGCATAAGTGCTCTTCCCCGGGGCTGTGTCCTTAGGCATGGTCTTTTCTCAAGCTACACATTTTGTCTGATTTTGTTAACATCTCAACACTTTTTAAATCTACATCTCTATCTTAGGAATCTCTCCTGAACTCCAGAACATTATAGTCAACATCCTACTGAATATCTCCATTTGGATATCCCATAGTCACCTCAAAGTATGTCCAAAACTCAACTCATAATCTTTTCAATGAAATCTGTACCCTCAATCCAGGGAGTGGTCCCACCCTCTATCCAATTCTCCAGTTTAAACTTCCTCCTCTTCTCATCCATCACCTCCCTCAGTCACTAAGTCCTATATATTCTATTTGGGATCTCTTCACTATCTTCCTTTCCATTCCCATTGTCAGTTCTTTAATTAGGCTGTTAGCACGTCCTAACTGCTTAAATAGGGTTCCAACTGGTTTTTCTATAATCTGGACTCATCTTTTTTTTTTTTTTAAGTTATTAATTGGTTCTATTTTCTGTATAACTTTAAGTACATAAAGTTTTATTTCTACAGGCCTTGGGAAGTGGGTCAAAGACATAGGACAATCTCTTCCTACCAAAAAAGTAGCATATTTTGGTAGGTGTCCTAGAGAGAAAAAGTGTAATTTACATTAGCAGTGCTGTGCAAGATTCTTACATAAGACCTAAACCAGGCTGCAGTGGAGATTTTCATCCTCTGTTCAGGTGCCCAGACAGAAACCAAAAGCAGTTGAGCATGACGGGGCAGAGGAGGCAGTGAAGGTGGAGGACAGGCACCTAGCACGGAAGGAGGAAGGAATTCCAGATTCCTTGGAATGGTGTGTTTTCCTTTTTTTTTCTTGTTTTAAGTCATCTCTATAGGAAGGTGCTGGGCAGGGATCCCAGTGAAAGGAAGGGGCCAAGACTCCTTAAACTGGCCTGGGTGCAGGGCACTGCCGCAGCCGCTCACACAGGAGAACCTACTCGCAGGTTCAGGCAGACCCAGGACGGAACGCAGAATGAAAGGAATGCTTACGGGAAACAATTTTGCTTGGAATGCTAGCTGGCCAAGTTTCAGCCTTTGGTCCGGTGCAACGCCTGCCTCACTTGTCAACAGTGAAAAATTAGTTTGGTTAGAAGAATCAGCTAGAATCACACCAGCCTCTGCTACCTTCATGTTCATTGTTAGAAAAAGATGAACTTGTGTGAACATTCTGATCTGTTAATCCTTGGGGACTGCTTTATTCTTCCCAAAAGGTTGTTTGTTGGTCAAATAGCCCCCAAAGGCTGAAAGCTTAAACACACCAGTCCTGGTGTGCGGCTCCTTAAGAATGGACTGGCGGTGTGGTTGAGCCAATAGGGAAAAGCCGCACCTTCCTGCAGAAGATCAACTGACCTGCTCTCCCGCCCCAAATCTCAGCCTGAGGTATATTTCAGTGAAGGCAGGTAGCTGTGCTTCTCAGGGCAGAGAAGCAGTTTAAGAGCAGACAGGTAGAGGAAATCTAGAAAAGAACCGTCTTGATACAGATTTATCCCATGGTGTGAGGGAGAGGGCAAAGGACCCAGTGGCACTTCGCTTATCCAGCAGTTTCGTCACAGTGGTGACCAACTTCTGCCCATTCCATAGGGTCTTGAACTGCTCAGGGACTGGGAATTTACTAAAGTCACCGCCTTCTGCAGGAATGAGGAAATTCATCTCAGAAGATTTGGCACTGAGGCGCCTGGGTGGCTCAGTCAGTTAAGCATCTGCCTTTAGCTCAGGTCATGATCCTAGGGGTCCAGGGATTGAGCCCAGAGTCAGGTTCCCTGCTCAGCGGGGAGTCTGCTTCTCCCCCACTACCCCAATCCCCTGCTCATTCTCTCTTTTTCTCAAATAAGTAAATCTTTTAAAAAAGAAAGTTTGGCAGTAACTATCTTGCAATCCAGGGAATTCTTGCTTGGAATGTGGCAGCCATCTGTTTTGTCGATGAAAATGGTTGGCACTTTACCCATTA